TTGTTTAAACTCGCATAAATAATAAGTATATATATTTAAAAAAAATTTTTTTATATAAAATAAAAATTTCACATGTTTAGGAATTGCTGTTATTTCAAAGACTTGCGTTTAAATCAATTACGACTCATCAATTTCGCCATTCGCGCTTTCTATCTCATTTTGGTAAATTATGCGCAAGAGAGGGTTGGATCGAAACAACCCCCGGACAAGTGTTAACTGTAGCAACAAACCCCCGTTTCGTTCCCAACCCCTTATGCAGTGGCGGTACACGAGTGGCTGACCCTTTTCACCCTTAGGAGCACTCGAACTCGAGAGCACCGAGTCCTTCAAAGGTCGTAAACAAATCCGGCATCGCGTTTTAAAGATTTCCTCTCCATCGACACGTGCCTCGCAAACTCCGATTGTCTATAAACGCGCGCGGTCTCAATTAACGGCGCATTGTGAAAATTGAATCAGTAAGTAGAAGAAGGATTCATTTACGTTACTTGCGCAAAAGATTGCATTTTCACGATAGAGAGATTTCGCTCGAGAGAAAGCTGCTTTCTTTTTTACCATAATTTAATGAAGACTTAAAGCTAAAATTTAAAAAGAATTTCAGAAAAATTCCATTGACCATTATTTGAAAAAAAAGTATCCTTAATTTATTTAAGGAATTTCTGACGATTAAAAAATGTTTTTCATTTTCATGTAATCTCAGTCATACTTTGCGTAATAAAATGAACAATAAATCTGCATTAATAAGAATGCGTGATAAAAATAAAATTAAATGAATATACAAGAATATAATTAAATGAAATATATAATATATAATAGAATAAATATATATTATATATGAGCGTTATCGTGAAAACGGTAAAGTCTTGCGACTATGAAATTTCGCATTTTTTTAAGGTAATTATTCTAGATAATTATAGTTTTTAATTATTAAGGAATGACCGATTAAAAAATGTTTTTCATTTTTCAATGTAATCTCAGTCATTACTTTTGCGTAATAAAATTGAACAAATAAATCTGCATTAATAAAAAGAAATGCGTGAAAAATAAAATTAAATGAATAATACAAGAATATAATAAATGAAATATATAATATATTAATAGAATTAAATATATATTTATGAGCGTTATCGTGAAACTTTGGGAAAGTCTTGCGACTATGAAATTTCGCAATTTTTTTAAGGATAATTATAGTCTAGTAATAGATAATATAGTTTTTTAATTTATTTAAGGAATTTTGACCGATTAAAAAATGTTTTTCATTTTTCAATGTAATCTCAGTCATTACTTTTGCGTAATAAAATTGAACAAATAAATCTGCATTAATAAAAAGAAATGCGTGATAAAAATAAATAAATGAATAATACAAGAATATAATTAAATCAAATATATAATATATTAATAGAATTAAATATATATTTATGAGCGTTATCGTGAAACTTTGGGTAAAGTCTTGCGACTATGAAATTTCGCAATTTTTTAAGGATAATTATAATCTAGATAATTATAGTTTTTAATTATTTAAGGAATTTCTGACCGATTAAAAAAATGTTTTTCATTTTTAATGTAATCTCAGTCATTACTTTGCGTAATAAAATGAACAAATAAATCTGCATTAATAAAAAGAAATGCGTGATAAAAATAAAATCAAATGAATAATACAAGAATATAATTAAATGAAATATATAATATTTAATAGAATTAAATATATATTATGAGCGTTATCGTGAAACTTTTGGGTAAAGTCTTGCGACTATGAAATTTCGCAATTTTTTAAGGATAATTATAATCTAGATAATTATAGTTTTTTAATTTATTTAAGGAATTTCTGACCGATTAAAAAAATGTTTTTCATTTTTCAATGTAATCTCAGTCATTACTTTTGCGTAATAAAATTGACAAATAAATCTGCATTAATAAAAAGAAATGCGTGAAAAAATAAATCAAATGAATAATACAAGAATATAATTAAATGAAATATATAATATATTAATAGAATTAAATATATATTTATGAGCGTTATCGTGAAACTTTTGGGTAAAGTCTTGCAACTATGAAATTCGCGCTGTTTTTTTTTCGCTTCTACGCGATGGTTAGATTACGCTCGTCGTTGATAATTCGCGTGGCGTGACGCGAGAGATCGATTAGGGGATTACGCGATACAAATCGTTCGCGAAAGTAACGACCGCGGAAATATCTTGGGAAAATAGTTGTCGGTGCGAGATACGTATTTACCATTTCGACGTTTTGTCCGGGGCTTGCACACGTACGGGGCCGCGTAATGGGCTCTCGGCCCACAATGGAATATAACCATCAATGGTGAATTATGTCGGGCACGTGCCCCGGCATAACTATAAAGAGAGAGATCGGCTGGGCGCTTTTGTTCGCCGCGATTGCGACGATACCTCGAGACTCGCGTGGCTGGTGGGCGCGCAATGGGATGTTAAATATCTTAATAATGGTTTATTATGCGGTCATCTGCGAGACGCGTTCACGGGGGTGTAAATGCTCCTGCCATAAGTTACGAACAAGCGAGAATGTCATCATTTGCGGAATAATGCGATGCGGAGGTGTGAGAAATCACCATCGCGTCAATCTATTCATGTTTGTATGACAGCATATATTTTTTTAATAAATGTGAAATCGAAGGATGCATTTCTTCAAGAGAAGCTCTGTAAAATCCTTTTAGAAATTATATCTTTACTATACTTTTCTTTGGAAAAAAATATTTTTTTATTTCAATGGCCAATAATGGAATAAAGACTTTATGTTCAACTAAGGATTAAATTTTGAATTAAATTTGGTTTTGATTGTTAAATGCATATTTAAGATTTTCATTAAGATAAAAATTATTGCAAGGCCTGCCATGTTGACTATAATTATCCTAACAACAGATCATTCTCATCTTTATAGAGTTGCTTTAATTACTGCATAAAGAAATAAAAAAAAAAATATTTTAATGATTAAATGATTGTGCGCGAAAGAATATAATTAAAATGATCAATATAAATGAATACAAATGATGTAAATAATATGAATTAAATTCTCTATGCAGGCCTAATACTATAATTTTAACAAAGCATGTATTATGATTGCTTTAATTACTGCATAAAGAAATAAAAAAAATATTTTAATGATTAAATGATTGTGCGCGAAAAAAAAAATATATAATTAAAATGATCAGAAGTATAATATGAATACAAATTCTCTATGCACTAATACTAACTTTTAAGCAATGTATATTATTGCTTTAATTACTGCATAAAGAAATAAAAAAAATATTTTAATGATTAAATGATTGTGCGCGAAAGAATATAATTAAAATGATCAGAAGTATAATATGAATATAAATTCTCTATGCACTAATACTAACTTTTAAGCAATGTATAATTAAATTGTTAACGACGATAAATAAATTTGAACATATCGTCAAATGAAATTATAGATTGCTTCGGCCAGAAACCGAAGTAGAATTATATTGGTAGATGGGAAGTAGAAATATGTACCAACGGTCTGACAGGTAGGACTTTATCCACTGATGATCAAAAGAGTAGAGGGGCACCAGAAGTAAAAACTGTTCTATCTTCATTCACTCACTTATTCATTCATTTTCCTCGTACGTTGTCGGAAGTCGATAATACGTAACCATACAATGGCGAAATCCGGTATTTGAAAGAACATTTCATAGTAAAATACCATGGCAGATGGGTCGTGTAATAAGAAAATCAATTCACGAATATTACAAGAGGATAAAGCGTTCATGGTAAGACAGAAATTCTTAGCTAAAGTTTCGTTCTGCTCGATAATTATTATCATTGAAATTATCTTTATAATAAAACAAACATTATTCCTTCTAATTTTTTAAAAGTAACGCACTGTTAAATATAATGCGTTCTAACAAACTTTTATAAATCTAATTCAATTAAATTGTTGTCCTGCAAACTCATAACACATTTTGAAATTCTTAAAACTTGAAAATAAGATTTGATGCAAATATATTGAATAAAAAAGTAATTAAATTTTTATTCGTGTTCAATCTTAAAAATCAAGATATCATGTAAAAAATTAAATTTCGAATTATAATTATTTTCTATATTCGATAACACTCACTATTTTATTTTTCCATCATATTACCATGTCACCATTAAACAAAATTGATCTCCAAAATATTCAAATTATTAGATCACAGAAAAAACAGTATCCTTGAAAGAATGCAAATATGCCTTGATTCGAATATATTTATCCTTATAATAGCGCCAAATATAAATAAACACAATAATAAATTATTAATATTATGAGGCCATGTGTAACGAGCAATTAAAAAATTATTATAATCTTGGAAAAACTTTAATTAAAAAAACCAGTTACAAACGTTTCGACCTGTACTCAGTCTTCTTCAGTGCGCAATAATAATAATAATTAAATAAATATAAATAAAAATTCTAATAAAAAAAGTCGCAATATAATGTCAAAATAAATTAAATTAAATACTTATGTCAAGATTAAAAGACGAAAATACGCTAACAATAAATTTAAATCAATAATTTTAAATAAATTCAAATATAAATAATTTTGAATAAAGGATAATTTATCCTTAAAACAAAGTGCAAAATATTCTTGGTTGAAGCTGAAAATTTACTTATAAGTATTGCAAGGACAAGTGAGCATCGGATATAAGCGATACTTTCAAATATATAATTCTTTAATTCAAATGTGTGATTAAGTTTGTTTTTACTATATAATGATTTTTAAACAAGAATATATTTTAAGGATAAAATATACTTCACACAAATTATTTATTATTAAGACAAATGAAAATTTGTGATTACAAAGAGCACATTCTGTAATCTTAAATCAATCAAATAGCGTTCAAGAATAAAATATATTTGAATCAAGGATCCTTTTTTTCTGTGATAAATTTTACTTCGCGATTGCTTCAATAAAAAATGATTCACGTTCTATATTTTCCATTTACCCTCGCTTGCGCGTAATTTCGCGCAAATCGCCCTCGATGTCCAAGCTTGCCTGTCCGAGGAGAACCATCGAGCTCTCTTGGCGATTCCCAGATATGGCTCAGGATAATCCAATTGCGAATTATTCACCGCCGCCGGCGAGGCTCGTGCTTTGCCACTCATCCCTCTGATCACAATCATCGTGTCGAGACTTTCCTACAATAATGACCGAGTGTATTGTCGCTCCTCAATGGGCACCCCTAAACTAAATACTATCGAACAGTCACGCCTCCGAAGGCGCCCTCGTAAGTTCTGTTGTGTGCGTGAAATCGTCGAAAGAACCGTGAAATCGCAAAACAAGGTCGTGAACAAACAGAACACGGAAGCGAAAGAATCTCGTAGTAACACAAATTCTGGAAATCATCGATTATGTTTACGACTCGCGTAGAGTTTTCACGCGGAAATTGAAAGATGTAAAACGCGCAGAATAAATAAAGAGGAAAGATTTTTCTATGCGTAATACGGGTGTCCCAGAACTGGCGGAAAAGTTTTAATGAAAGATTGCTGGATCATTTAAAGACGATTTTTCCTTGGTGAAATGTTGAGGAGGAAAGCCATCATTTTTAGCATGTTCCCCATTTTTGTGATTATGTGTCTTTATAACTTATAAGCCTTATATTAAAATTCTTAAAGCAAACTCTGTCTGAAATTAACTGAGGAATGTAGTTTTGTTAATATTTTATTTCCACAAGGCTTAGTTTCCAAAAAAGCCTTATTTTCAACTGCTTATAATTCGAAAATTATTGGTGTCTCGACATTTTCGCTGCTGAGAAAAATCGTCTCCAAATGATATCAGGAATCTGCCATTAAAAACTTTTCCGCCAGTTCTGGGACATCTTGTATATAAATGTAACATGTAAAAATTAATAATAGATAATAATAAAATAAATAATAAAATAAAAAAAAAACATAAAAAATAAATGACAAGTTATCTCTCAGAAGATCTGTCAAGTTATAAAGGTCGACTTGCATTTTTCTGGAAAACCTTTCAAAATCCCCTATGATTGAAATCTTTCACACAAACTCTCAACTTCTCGAAGGGTTATAAAAACGAACTAATCCTTGACAATACAGTCTTTACAGGCTTAATGTCTCCGGGTTTAAATGTAAATATGACATATTTCGTCAGATTGTCATATTTCGTTTGTTAGACGCGACAGGTGTCATCAATCGCCAATCACTGTCAAAATAATCATTAACGACACTAACGATCAATGCATTCTTTTATTTCTTTTTCTATCTATGATAACGCGGTTTTGACACGGGTCAACCAAGTGCGAACAAATATTTCGCCAAACATTGTATATACATGTTTTTTTTTGTAAAGAATCGACTCGCAAATTGTTTCAAAATATTAGTCGCAAATGTTTTTTTTATATTTTTAACAGACTTGCCATCCTTCAGAGAGAAATTGATATTTTTCTAACGCATAAGATAAGACTTTCCAATTTGTATTATTTATATTTTTCATATAATTAATAATTTATATTATTTATTATAAGACCAACTTTCTTTCACATAATAAATGCAGAGGGTAACAGAAAATATAAGAAATAAAAATAAAAAGAAATGTTAGAACTTGAAGCAGAGATGCATATATTTTATCTCTAATCTCAGAGTGTAACGCTATTATTATATATTTATATTTGGTACTCGCTACTTATCTAGGAAGAGGATAAAAAAAATGGACGGAATATATATTGCCTATTAATATTGTAATACCTATCGCGATCGATGATCAATTGATTCGGGAAATTGTAAGGGAATTATTTTAATTACAAAGGAATTATTCATATAACGAAACCTCCAAGATGAGAAATATCGCTAATAAAGAAGAGTAATTATTACAGAAGTTGGCCTAATGTAGTCTCATTGTATGATATGCATCCTTCCATTTATGGTAATAAAATCAGATCATATTCCACAATTAAACAAATTTCATAAATTTAAAAAAAAAAAAAAAAAATTCGCAATTTTCGCCAACTTTAAACACTGGTATTACATTACAATCGCGATGGCGACATCTCGCTACAACCAAGTAATAAATCAGCTGATATTCCACAATTAAACATATTTCCTAAATGAATAAAAGAATCCAAAGCTTGAAACCTTTCCCAACTTCGAACGGTGTTACATTACAATCGCGATTGACGACATCTCGCTACAACCACCGATTACAATAACATTATCTGACATCTTCATCCCACGTTTATCCGTTCAAGGGGTAAGCCGATCTCTCTCTCTGCAGGGAACAAGTAGAACGTGAGCATTCTAAGTGAATAATAAACATCACAGTAGGGTTAGATACATACATAGGGCTTCTTAATATTGGGTGACTAGCTCGCTCTCTCTCCCTCTTTCATTTAAATGGGGGGCACGTTTTAAGGCGCCCATATTGGTCC